ACCCTCCTCTATCATCTTTTTTCCCCCCCCCCCAAAAAAAAAAATAGTAATAACTTAAGTTAAGACTACGACATCATAACCCGCGCGAGTGAAGCGGTCGCTGCAGTTGCGCACATGCGTATGTAAATGAGTGGCGCACACATGGCGCACGGAGCCAAAGATAGAGTAACAAATCAGGAATTTTCCTCCTGCCATTCCTGAGAGTGCAGAGAGCACAGAAGTCAACGCGGTACACTTACGCGTTCTCCTCGGAGAAGAGAACGGAACAGCGGCATTCATTTGCATCTTTTAGAATTTTCTTTTTTTCTAAAAACATTTCACGCCAGGATTAACCTCTGTTTCCGGATTACGGACTAGCATTTGGGGGGAAATCATGAGTTTGGACCCAACTTTTGTATCATGTCTCCTGTTTAGAAACGTTCTGAGGAAATAAATGGCGCAGCGCAAGAGAGCAGCACGGATAAAGAATACTGTTATGTTGCATGGGATTTGTTTTTAGTCACTGCCGGAGGATTTGTTCTTCTAGACTTTATCGGGGAAAAGGCGAGGATTCTGTGTTGATGAGTGAAAAAAAAACCAAAACATCTGGATTACAAATTCAGAACTTTTTGGAGGAAGAAAATGTGGAGTGAAAACGGCGTGTAGAAGGATGCTGTACAATGGAAGTGAAGAACTCTTTAGCTTTCTTTGCGGTGACTTGTCTCTTTTTGTGCTCCACTTTCAGCCAAGAACTCAACCCCAAAGGCAGGAATGTATGCAAAGTACCGGGGTAAGGAACACAGCAGCAACAATATAAAGACATATATTTACAAACTACGACAAATGTAAACATGTCCTGATAGAAGTTCTTGTTTTGTTGTTTTATACTTTAGGATATGACTTAAAATGCACCGAATGCATGACGATTAACTTCCGAGTTCGTTTTGTCTTTACTTAGTTTTAGGACAAAATATTTCCTGTGCAGACGGCGTCATGGCATCAGTACGCAAGCCGAGTAACGGTTCTCACTAAGAACTTTTACCAGATTTTTACTTTGTTTTTTAGTCTTGTACGACTCCGACCAACACGTATTAGTTACGTGTTTTACTTTGACCTATTTTCTGTAGGTAAAAATATGTTCTTTGTATAGCATGCACACAGGAGGAGTAGGAGCCCATTAAAAAGCAGCCACACAGATGTGTACATCTGGAACTACACTATTTTTTCCGTCTGTAGAGGCACGCTAGTAGACCTTAAGGGCTTTCGTGGCACCATTTACACAAATGTAGAGGCGAGTGAACTCCGTACAAACTAGGGGGAGCTGATGGGTTTGTTTTGATGTCAATGAGTTGTAGTCGGAGGATGGAAAATTATATTTCATGACATCTGTTGAGATTATATTTTGTTTGTATTTTTATGACTCCTATATTTATATATAGGAGGTTACATGTTGTAACAAATCTTAGTAGAAAAAAAACCAACAATATGACAAAATACAATTTATGAATGACCTCTAGGAATATGACCGACACTGTGGGTGTTGGAATACTGGTAAGAAAAAAACAAAACAAAACCAAGTCCACAATTGCCTCCTGTGAGTCCAAGTGTGTTTGTCAAATATGAAGCAGCAGTACAATAGGCAAAAAAGGGTAAAAACGTGTCTTTACTTTGCTACAACAATCGATATATGGGGGGGGGGGGGGAATAAAATACTTTTATTTTAAATTTTATCTATTTTTACAATTTCTTATTCTTGAAATACATATATTTATAAATACATGTATGTATACATATATTTATATATGTATGCATACATTTACATATATTCATACATGTACAGTATTTATATGTATACATATATGTACACATGTATGTATACATATATTTATATATGTATGCATA